CTGAGTTTTTTGAACTCGTCGTTTGATCTCCCTTCCCTATAGCTAGTTTTACAGCTAGCCATAACCATGTTATGTATGTTACCGCTGCTGTGAAGTAAACCAGGGCTGTAGCATTGAGTTTTGAACTGATACGTAAAAATATTTGCACATGTGGTGTTGTAATTGTGTGCCCAAGCCATAAACAAACCCTGGCTGTTTTTCAGCATACTCAGGTGGATGCGGTAGGTCCAGATGCTAATCCTGTTGTATGTTTCACTGCAGACTGGTTACTTCAGATGTAGCTTTTTACACTGGAAACCTTCAAGCTCTGAAAGGCCTTAACAACTTAGACCTAAACATGGCTGAAATTTGGGAGCAGAAGAGGTGATAATCCACTGGGAGCAGTCACTTGGCTCTGACAACAGACCGACTTTCTTCTAAGCAGCGTGAGGACTGTGAGGTGAATACTTAAGACCGGAGTCCAAGAAAGGACACTATTGATAGTTGGGGAGACTAGACTCAGAGTGAGCTGCAGGGAGTGATCTTTTCAGTGTCCTTCACCAAGAAACAAGCGATCAGCTGTCTGTGCAATGTTGGGGTTTTTTTTTTTCCATTCTCTCTGGAAACAGACTCAGGTTTCTTTGGACCAAATCCAAAAGAACACATAGCTGTAACACAGCTGTAGTTGTCTAGAATGCTCTGTATATCTTTATATTAAAAAGATGCTTTGCATTTCTTCTAGTGCAATGAAATTCACATGGTGTCCCACCTTATTTAATGACGGTACAATATAAAAAGCTTGCAGTTGGAACTCTGTAGAAAATGTTTTTCTCTATGAAACTATGCTGTTCTAAAATTTATTTTTTTACAGAACTTTATATAAATAAATGTCTTTTGATTGCTTGCATATAGGATTCAGATTTGTTAGGGAGCAGTCTGATTTTGGGGGATTTCTCACAGCTGGGCTTTAAACTGCCACCTGAAGATAACAACGATTTTCTAACACATTGTCAGTTCACTGAAGCCACTACTACCAGGATAGAGTTGTGAAATGATTGATCACCCTTAGCAGTGACAAGGTAACGGTGCGCTTCTGGTAGAATCTGAAGGTAGTAAAAAGGCTGGTGTGGGGAGGCTCCCTGCAGCTTCCCAACCCTGGACTAGGCATGGCCCTGACAGCAGAGTCAGGAGGGGGAGGCTTTCAGGACTCTGCCACTTGCTCCACCACTTCAAAGACAGAGGAGGACACAGAAAACAGAGCAGGAAGAATTTTAAAGTTTTTAGGCTGCTTATAAAAGCTTGCACTGTTGAGGGAGGTGCAACTGAAATTAATTTATTTGAGAGTTTTTAATACTACCTTTTAAGGCTGGATGCTGCCAGTACTAAGTAAAAGTAAAAGTGCCTGTGTACTTTACTTGACACTTCTTTACCTACCCATAGTCTGAGTGCCTGATGTACAATGGAACGGTCTGCAGTACATGCGTGTGCCTATGGTTTCTTCAGACAGGCATGCTTATCTGTTAGCACAACAGCTGTCATTAACTGTCAGTCAAAATAAAGCTATAAAATCACAGTTGTTTTTAAAGACCAACTTCTTTAATGATACATACCAGTGTTATAACTAAGCTTATAAAATAAAGTTGTCTGCATGTAAATACAAGAGAAACATTAAGAAATCAAAAGTGATCAGGACAGGGATTTCAATTCCTGTACAAATTTAGAAATTATTCAAGAGAAGATAAATTAACATACAGGGTGGTGACAATATGAACATGGGTGTAGTCAACGTGATCCATTTATTGAAAAAAGAGGGCAGATCAAGGATTAAGATATCAACAGGAGATCCAGTCTTAAATGGGATGTGAAAAGCAAACACCACACCAGTGGATACTGAGGCATTTTTCTCAAGTATTAGATTCTTTGGGTGAGTTTGGAACATCAACGCTTCCCACTCTCACAATACAGAAATGGAGGTATTGACAGCCTTACCCCAGTATCTTGACATACAATTGGGATAGGACATCCCATCTGTGGTTTGCAGGGGTTAGAGAGGGCTACAGGTCAGGGTGTTTGTGAGCACATGAAATACAGGGTGGTTTTAACAGCCCATTTAGCAGTAGTGAAACTTTTTGTTTTCAACTGTGCCTGCCACTTATACTTCATAAAAAGTCCCAGGAGTAGCTAACTCTGTTGTCCCACATGTATTGCTTCACAGCTTTATTTCTGCAGTTACAAGCAATTCAAAACTACTAAATGTTAGAGGCAAGCCTCTAACTTCTTATCAAAGAAGATCTGTCCATCTTAACCGCAAGACAAACAGTATTGCACTTCAAGGTTATATTAACTGAGTTACAGAATCTCTTTAAGGACTGAAGCATCACTTACGCACATCCATTGCGCTATGTGTCTGCTTAAAAAGATAAGCAAGAGAAATTAATTTTAAATTAATACTGCAGGGTACTGTGAAGATGGACAAAGCATAGGCCCTCTCTGTACTTATATTTCTAATGCTTAAAAGGTTCTTCCATTACGAGGCTGGTTTAGCCCAGCAGCCTACAGAACCGACCGTGCCCTTTCACTGACTCAGTGGTCCAGGATCCGAAGATTGCCAGATACGATTTTGTTCTCTAGCAGGGCTCCAGCTGGGATGTCGATTCTGTCGCCGTGGTTTGCAATGATGATAACTGTTCCCTGGATTTACAGAAAAGAAAACAAGTAATTAGAAACTTTGTATTAACTGTTGACTGACTTAGGAGCTAGAGTAGCGTTGTCTGGAGGACCAGGTAGGTGTCAGTGGTAACACAGCCAGAGCCTAAAGGCATCCCGTTGTACTGTTCCTGCATAGACTTTTTTTCCTCCCCACAACAAAGGTTTTAAACAAGCAATACTGGAAACACTGTAATTACCAGCATACTAGATACTATCAGCTTACAAGCAGGGTTGATGCCTTCTTTGAAGCTACATGCTTGCTGTAAGCACTCCTATCATGTCTGCTTGCTTTTAGGTGGAAAAAAAGTCACCCACATCAGTATGTCATGGCACAGCTCACCATTATATCTGTAAGGCAAATAAATAAATACACAGAAAGGGCTGGGAACAGACACATGCATGTGAGCCTGCAGTCTGCTAACAGCCTAAGCCGGTCCCAACCTTGCACTGATGTGTGTTGGCAGCTAAACTGCCCTAGACCACGGGCAATGCTCTGCTAGGATTGGCCAGATCCAGAGGAAGAACTCAAGAGAGAAACTAACTGGCTCAGCTTCAACATTTACTAAATAAATCAAGAACCCCAAACTGATGAGAAGGCGCCTGTGGCTGTAACACCAGCCTGGGAGGGGAGGTGGTACGTGCCTTGTAGAGCTAAGGGACAAAGACGTAAGCATTCCTTTGAACGCAGAGCCATGAGGTCTGTGGTGTTTTCAGGGTGTGTAGATAAACCTCATCTCTCACAGCGACTACACAGAGAAGCAGCTGTAGGGGTAACGCTCCTTCACAGGGGTCACTGTTCAGTCTTGGCCTCTGCAATCCTCGCGCCAGTTAGTTAGTTACTTAATTCCTAGGAGTGCTTCCGTGGACTGGGCATAAAGGCGCTGACTTCAGCAGGATCAATTACCAAGGAGCAGAGATCAGTCACATTTATTGTAGAAGCAACCCAATTACACACTCACCTTTAATGAAACATTCTTCCCAAATGTAACATCACCTGAAACCGTGAGATGATCCAGCTCCAGCATATCTGGAATACTTTCAAACCTCCGCAGGTAATCTTGAACCTTTTGGAGAGAGGAAAGAACAGATTCAGTTTAAAAATTGGTTTGTGGATTAAGACAAGTGTGGGAGCTTCTTAAGAACTCCCTTCAGGGACCTTTCTAGAATCTACATCTGTCTTAATGTAAGAGTTGCTACTTTGAAAGCAACGTGGTATTGTCATTTCTTCAGCGATAACTTTGAGAAGCACTGAGGGCAGAGCTTTAGAGAGCACACACAACCTGATTCACCTTCCGTTTCCTCAACGGACAGCGTAAAACAGCAGTATGACGTTATGTGCAGATGTTAAATAGTTTGTATTCTAACAGTTCTTTACAAAGAGTAAAAGGGAATGCCCAGGTGGGCAGAGGTAGATAAAGTAAACCTCACTTTTAACTCATTTATAGTTTGGTTTTATCTCTTTGAATAAAAATACAGTCCATAGCAATAATTATAGGAGTTTACCTTTGTGAAAGAACTTCCCAGTTTGACAAGAGGCACTGTTGGAAATTCACGCTTCTCGCTCATTGTTAGAGATCCAGCATTAAGGCTGTACAAATTAGACATCACAAGCAAGAGATCTGACGTGGTCTTAACAGGCAGAAAACGACTACGAGGTACGTTTATCCCCAGCGAGTTCTCAAAACTCTTAATAGCAGCACCAACTGCGGTCTCCAACTGGATAACATTCAAGCCTCCATCCAGAGTCTGGAAGAGAAAACTCACGTAAACACAACCAGCAGGTAATGGCACTCAGAACTAGAGATGAGCGCAAGTCAGAGCTCTGCAGTTACTGACAGACTGGCTCCTTTTTGAAGGCAGCAGTCCGTTTAGTTACCTAGAAACAAACAGTTCTTTTGAGTCCGTTTCCTCTAAAATCTTCCTAGCTGATTACCTTTGGGTTAACAATGATCTCCATGTCAATAGCGTTTTTCTCTTGCAGCCTTTTAATCGCTGAGAGAGCAATCCACAAATTGTTGGTATTGAATATTTTGAATTTTGACACAGACTTGAACTCGTCCACATGTGCTTTTGGGACCTGAGCTATCTCCACCAGTCTCAGCTTGTTTTCGTATTGCGTGAGCGTGCCACCCTGCAAGGGTCAAAGAAGAAGTTTTAAGTCCTGTTCATGAGATGCCAGAGAACCCCCTCCTCACCCCAGACGGATGCACTGCTTTGTTGGCATTTAAAGTTGAACCTCAGTGAAAACATGTGGCTTGTGTTCAGCTACCAGGTTACTAATTATAGAGTATGTTTAAAGTACAGTCAGAACTGTCAAATGATCATGTTTCAGCACTCCCAGACAGTTAATTATTTTAATGAACGTTGAGAATCTTTTGCAAGTGCTGCTGTTGTCAAAAATCACCTTCAGCAGTGCTTTGCTAGGTTACAGAGCAAAAACATAAATTAGATCTAGTAGTTCTGTATTTGTGGCACTTACTGGAGAAACAAGTGGTACTTCAGTAACCCGAACTGTATTCTTATAGTGCATTTCTGGGGTTTTATAGGAGTAAGTCAGAGCTTTCTTAGTATCTAATGAATACAGAGAAAATCACATTTCCTCCCTATGCTCATATTTAAAAGAATAGAGGCAAAGTACAGTTACGTGACAATATTTGATACGTGCCATAAACATCTGACAAGCTGTCAAACCTGGACTTTGTACAAAATGGAGCGTTCAGGGCCGGAGCAGACCGGCAGCCACACCAAGCTCAGCTGCGCAATGCACACCTCGACAGCTGACTAAGTGGCTTAGGCACTTTTCAGTGAGTAGACATACAACCAACTGCTGTATACCACGCCTCAGAGCTCTGCTTTAACCATCCCCAAGCATCTCCCCTGCATAAGTAAGTGACACTTTGGAGAAGGTACAGGTTTGTGACCTGCAACCCGCAGAAATCATTGGCATTTTCAGTCAAGCCTAGGCTGTCCTTGTCTCCTGGTTGCCCAGAACTTAGATCCAATTTGTTCCATGAATTAGAACTTCATAAACTTGCTGATTTTGTGCAGCTCAAATTAGATCACAGCTGATGTGTTAAATGGTGCCTAAAATAGCTATAAGATTAAGTGTATGTCTGAATTCATGCATGCAGAAGAGACAAGAGGCTGAGATTTTCACCAGCATGCCAAGCGTTCGGACAGACTTGCACAACTACCTCCTCTTACCTTCACATCCGCCCTGGTTTTGTTTGTGACTTCCATGACAAATTCACAGCGTTTTCCATTGGGTGGGTTCATAAGATGGTTAAGAATGTAAAGGTCCACAGTGGCACCCAAGTTATCTATATTGGATACAAAAATATATTCCTTCCCCTCTCCGATAAGGTTATCCAGCAGACCAGAGTTATAGAAACTGGCGTAGATATCTCCGTGCCCTGGGGGATACCAGCACTCCGTATTCTCTCCTGAGTAAGATACATCCTTGGCTATTGGCAGCAGAGTTTCCTTGTTAATTCTAGGATATCTGGGAAGACAATGGGCTTTGTTAAGTTCTCACCCATGTCAGACTAGCATAAAGAAAACCAAAATACAATAGTAAAGGTGCAACTACATGGGCTTTTTCATGTAGTTTTTGAAAAAAAAGCTTTTGAAGGTATGCTTTCTAGATTAGTGCAAGTACTCTGAATTGAAAGACCCATCCGAATACTGAACTATCACTGAGAAGCTACAGAATGCAGTCTCTCATTCAAGGATTTAAAGCCACAGTTCTCAGACCACGCTGTAATACAGCTTTCCTCTGACACGCAGGTTCAGAGCACACCAAGCACGCCTCCGACATTGTCAGCCACTTTAGATTAGACTTTGTTCTTGATAAGGAAGCCATGTTCTGTCTCCCCTCCAAAGCCCAGGTACCCTAAAAGCAAATGCAGGAATCAAGTGGCCAGCATCCAGTGCACCATTATCCATACGCTTCTTCGAAACTGCATCCCCCAGGCACTCCTCTCCCTAATTTTAACACATTGCCGTGAACTCTGCTTAACACCCTGATGTTTCAGTCTTTCAAGAGGCCCAAAATAGAGACTGAACATGGGTACAGAAGACTCTATTGCTGCCTCAGCATCTCAAACTAAAAACCCACACCATTTGGAATATGGAGAAATGCAAACTAGTTTTTCCTTTCACCCCAAGTGGAGAAGTTTTTGATACCTGCTTTGATTAAAAGTATATATCTTCACACGGCTGTGACTGTATTTCTGCAAGATTTTCTTTGTGTCGTCATCAGTGTTGAAGGAATTCATGAGAACAAGAGGAACATCAGTGTTGTAGGATTTGTTTAAATGCTGAGATGGGAAAGAAATGGTAAATTCAGTGTGTATTATTAGCTTTAACTCCTGACACTTAAGAATTTGGGAGAAAGAAATTAGTTAAAACAGACTGGAAATAATAAATGCATGAGATGAGAGATGCGCTTATGCTGACAGAAAAGATAATAAATCAGGTACAGGAAAACAAATCCTTGTAAGTAGTGAAGATAAGGCCCACAGCCATTAACATATAACTAATCTTTTTTTTTAAACCTGCATCGAGATTTGAAATTTGAAAAGCAGGACACTACAAAATGATTATTTTAAATTTTAGGCTACTGTTGATTACAAAAGGCATGTTTTCCCTCAAATTATTAAAGTCTGCCAGGGTGAAGTTTCAAAACCTTCTCTGCACAGAAGCACTTTTGAGCCTTCTTGGCAGGCTACAAGATGGACAATAGTATCAAAAGTACATAATGAATGAAATGCCACCATGTTAATTATTTGGGAATCTATAGAATGGACCTGAAATACACAAGAGCATTTCCATGTGCACAGCACAGCAAAGGCAAAAATCAGCAAACATGGCAGCATTCCACCAAAAATAGAGTGTGCAGAAAAAAAAGATACTTCAGTGAGTTTTATGTTTTGGGTATCTAATTGCCCTCCTCTGCTGGGGAGTGTTTGGGATTATTACCCTCTGGTGGAGTCAGAGACTTCCACAATGACCCTTTCGAGAAAGCGCCCACACCACCAAAGGGTTAGGACTGCATTAGTTGGCTATAAACTTAAGTCTGCTATAGAACTGTCTAACATACACGGAAGAGTCACTCCAAACAAACACCACACGGAGGCAAGAATTGTTGGAGCTCTAGAAACTATGGAACAGGCACACCCGCTTTCCTACTCTAATGACCATCTTAATTATCTGCCATAAGAGGAATATTCTGCATTAAAAACATATGCTGGAATGCCCTCTTTTAACACCCGCAGCTGTTATTTTCTTTACTTTTCTTTCTTCAGAGGAAAATGCCAGCAATCACTTCCAGCATGAGAGTTTTAATGCAACACGGAACTTGGAGCTGCTTGTGAAGAGCTTTGTTCTAATGCACATAAAAAAGGCTATTAAAAAGTTAAACTTAAACTTGCACCTGGAGGAGTCGGAAACAAGCCCAGGAGCTAGCCGTGCCAGGCCAGCTCTACAATTTGATTGCTCGTGTTTCTGGACACAATCACCACTGTCTGCCGTGGTGTGCACAGGCTGAATTACACTTGTGCTAACGTGTGTGGAGTGAACAGAGTTCAATCGCCGATCGCTCCGTCCCTTTCCTGCCTATTCTTTCCAAAGCAATTCTCCGCGTCACCACTAGCGCTGTGACCAGACCTCATTTCCCTCTCCTCTTCCTTTTGGCAAGGACTGTGATCTCTCTTAAAGGGTCATACAGGAGAAA